AAATATATTAATTACTTTTTTGAAGATATTTTATTATTTATTTAGAATAAAAGAGAATATTTTATGTGTACATTGTAAAATAGTTTACTAACATGAAAATAAATGCTATGTTCCAAAAATGGCTATATTACAAAAAATCTATAATATACGTAACATAAATTATAGATTTCCAATACTGGCAGTATATATTGGAACATAGTCTAAAAACAATTACTCATATAAATGACAAATAATCAATTAAATATGTTTTAAGCTGCTGACCCCTCTCTTATTGTTGCTCCGTCATCATGAGATATTTCCTCAGACCTTTTTCTCCTGTGCCTTTTTCTCTTGTTCATCCTTTGCAGCTCCTTCACGACGCTTTGCACAGTACTCTCGATATTACTTGCACGCGAAGCGAACTTTATTTATATTGTCGCGGAAGAACAACTCAAAAAACTATGATTCGCTCGTCACCCGACAATTGTGCGACGGATTTCAATTGAATGTTTGCACGTCGATATCCTTTGAACTTAAAATAAATTATTAATAAACGTGTGTATATTGCGACTTTTCATTATTTAGATCACTCGATGACTGCAATTCGTATATTGCTGCGCACTTTTCATCTGAAAATAATGAATAAATTATAGTTAAATGCATATTAAAAACAAGTCCTGAATTTTAGCCACATTGATATATACCTTCAATTTCATTTTATTTTACATTGTAATTATACAAAAACCGTTTCAATATTAAAAAATGTTTTAATAATTTCATCTAAGAAAGTTCGATTCCAAATCAGTTGAGTAATATGTAATAAATAATTTTTTGGATATTTCTTATTCTCTGTAATAAATCTGAATTTCCAAAATAGTTTAATAATACTTACATGTAAAGTTAATATATTTTAGGTTTGGCAGAGTGGTACGTGCCTCAAGGTGGACTCTTTCTTTGGATAAAGCTAATGGGTGTAGATAATGTACTGGATTTGGTGATGAACAAATGCATACCCCAAGGTGTTGTCGTTGTTCCTGGAAATGCCTTCAGCTATGATTCTTCAAAACCCAATCACCATTTGAGATTCAGCTTTAGTTATGCCTCGCCAGAAGATATGGACAAGGTATGTAAATTGGGAATCTATTGATTCTGATTTTATTTGTCACAGCGTGCATATATGTATATATATATATATATGTATGCATACAGATGCACGTATAAGAATTATATTCACATTTATACGTAAGTAAAGTATAGTAAAAGTAATACATAAGAATAATGTCGATCACATTTTTTAAAAAATTTGATACATCGATACTTTCTATCATTCTTCAGGGACTGTCTATAGTGGCCAAAATAATACGCGAAGAAGTAGCGAAGAAAAATAACAATGTTTCGATGTGAAAAGTATTATTATCATATACGTATTTTATATATTGAAAGTTATTATTTTTTTATTATATGAGATTTTCTCTAATAAAATAATAGCTTCTAACTCTACAATAATTGGCTCTACAATTTCTGTTTTATGATCTCCTGAATATTCTACTATAAACTACTAAATAAATTGTCTTAAAATATGTATCTTGAAAAAGCTGTCGATAAAATATTAGAAAATACATGTCTGATTAAGGAAATGAAGATAAAGATAATCACATTAAATATCTCGCAAATATCTTCACTTTTAAGTTTCGCATGTACTTGTATTATTAAGATCATAAGTATTTATGCACTTTTGAAACGTCGAATGCCATCTACACATCGAGAAGTTATGATCGGTAACTTACTAACAAACTTTTCTAAGCATGGTTTAATATCTTGCTCTACTCATATACAAATAGAATACTTTATTAATTAATAATAACATTTATTTTATCATTAAAATAAAGAGACGAAAATCAAATCAGCATTTCTATTATAGAAACATTTAATATTTTATATCGTAGACGCGCGTATATACATTTTTATACGAAACGGTGAAATTTAATTATAACTTGTAAAATTTAATTACATATAAGTCAAATATTCAAGTATTTATTTAAATATGTATATTAAATTATTCAGAGCTGTCGGTAATATCAATATTCTCCTCTCTCTAATTTTAGTCAGAACTGGAGGGCTTTAACCCTCAGAACTTGTAATATCGATCTGGTAGTACCACCATTAATGTACCATCTAAAAATACGTCTTATTATTTTAATAAATAATTAATTTGTACAAAAATAATTTTGTCTTTTTAATATTATTTTAATTTATTGCATTCTTCTAGATTTAAAATTAGAATTAAAATTATTGCACGTTTTTTTACGCATTATAAAAAATTGGAAAAATTAATATCGCAATCCATTGGACCGACATTACTCTAAACTATTTACTCGAGAGGTAAAACGGCAGCATCGCGTTATCAGTTTATCAGCGAGCCGTAATACAAACATTGTAATTAGATTGATATCATTACGTTTTTCTCTAATAAAATAATAGCTTCTAACTCTACAATAATTGGCTCTACAATTTCTGTTTTATGATCTCCTGAATATTCTACTATAAACTACTAAATAAATTGTCTTAAAATATGTATCTTGAAAAAGCTGTCGATAAAATATTAGAAAATACATGTCTGATTAAGGAAATGAAGATAAAGATAATCACATTAAATATCTCGCAAATATCTTCACTTTTAAGTTTCGCATGTACTTGTATTATTAAGATCATAAGTATTTATGCACTTTTGAAACGTCGAATGCCATCTACACATCGAGAAGTTATGATCGGTAACTTACTAACAAACTTTTCTAAGCATGGTTTAATATCTTGCTCTACTCATATACAAATAGAATACTTTATTAATTAATAATAACATTTATTTTATCATTAAAATAAAGAGACGAAAATCAAATCAGCATTTCTATTATAGAAACATTTAATATTTTATATCGTAGACGCGCGTATATACATTTTTATACGAAACGGTGAAATTTAATTATAACTTGTAAAATTTAATTACATATAAGTCAAATATTCAAGTATTTATTTAAATATGTATATTAAATTATTCAGAGCTGTCGGTAATATCAATATTCTCCTCTCTCTAATTTTAGTCAGAACTGGAGGGCTTTAACCCTCAGAACTTGTAATATCGATCTGGTAGTACCACCATTAATGTACCATCTAAAAATACGTCTTATTATTTTAATAAATAATTAATTTGTACAAAAATAATTTTGTCTTTTTAATATTATTTTAATTTATTGCATTCTTCTAGATTTAAAATTAGAATTAAAATTATTGCACGTTTTTTTACGCATTATAAAAAATTGGAAAAATTAATATCGCAATCCATTGGACCGACATTACTCTAAACTATTTATTTATTATATGAGATTTTCTCTAATAAAATAATAGCTTCTAACTCTACAATAATTTGCTCTACAATTTCTGTTTTATGATCTCCTGAATATTCTACAAATAAATTGTCTTAAAATATGTATCTTGAAAAAGCTGTCGATAAAATATTAGAAAATACATGTCTGATTAAGGAAATGAAGATAAAGATAATTACATTAAATATTTCGCAAATATCTTCACTTTTAAGTTTCGCATGTACTTGTATTATTAAGATCATAAGTATTTATGCACTTTTGAAACGTCGAATGCCATCTACACATCGAGAAGTTATGATCGGTAACTTACTAACAAACTTTTCTAAGCATGGTTTAATATCTTGCTCTACTCATATACAAATAGAATACTTTATTAATTAATAATAACATTTATTTTATCATTAAAATAAAGAGACGAAAATCAAATCAGCATTTCTATTATAGAAACATTTAATATTTTATATCGTAGACGCGCGTATATACATTTTTATACGAAACGGTGAAATTTAATTATAACTTGTAAAATTTAATTACATATAAGTCAAATATTCAAGTATTTATTTAAATATGTATATTAAATTATTCAGAGCTGTCGGTAATATCAATATTCTCCTCTCTCTAATTTTAGTCAGAACTGGAGGGCTTTAACCCTCAGAACTTGTAATATCGATCTGGTAGTACCACCATTAATGTACCATCTAAAAATACGTCTTATTATTTTAATAAATAATTAATTTGTACAAAAATAATTTTGTCTTTTTAATATTATTTTAATTTATTGCATTCTTCTAGATTTAAAATTAGAATTAAAATTATTGCACGTTTTTTTACGCATTATAAAAAATTGGAAAAATTAATATCGCATTCCATTGGACCGACATTACTCTAAACTATTTACTCGAGAGGTAAAACGGCAGCATCGCGGTATCAGTTTATCAGCGAGCCGTAATACAAACATTGTAATTAGATTGATATCATTACGTTTCGATAATGTGATTTGTTACGATAAAACAAACACGGGTCTCACAAGTAAATTTCTCTCCCCATTTATATTCATAATTTATTTGTATTTTATATTACAAGCTTTTTGATAGAATTTAAATAAAAATAGAAAAAAATCAATATTTTCTTGTCAAAATAATTTTCTTAGAGATGCATTTAAATTTTATATTGTTTTATATTAAATTACAAATAAAAGACAGTTATAATGCTTTTAATGTTACATTCACACTCGCGTAAAACTGAAACTATATTGATCCTTAAATAAAACAAGAGGTCCTTCTACCCTAAGGGTGCGATATCGATAGGAGATGTCGCTTCAATCAAGGATGCTGTCAAAAATCTGACATTTAGTAAACACGCGAGTTTTCCCATAACAGAGATAAGCGAAATAGCGTACTATCGGAATAAGAGACGAAAATAGAATGATTTATAAACTGTTTCCCCCCCCCCTATTTTCTTCGTTTATCGAGATCTGTATCGCTACAGCGATAAAAAAAATCCATTATTTTTAATCGAATAGGTGTAACTCAATATTAATAAAAGATCTTATACAGTCGACGATTTGCTACAATATTTGTTCCACATCTTCGCAATTGCCATCCTTTCCACCGGGGGGTCAACGCGCACCAATCGCGTTTCTTCGAGGGCGACAAATTACCCCTACTCTCTTACCTCGGCGCGACACTTATAGAGAATTAATAGCGGCTTTTATTGCGAGTTCTCTCCAAAGTAACCGGCGAAATTGCCAAAAAAGTTTAAGTCGATCTGTGACGACGACGACGACGACGCAACGCAGGCGCAAACGTGCCGTTTCCATGGCATCCTTGCTATACGTGGTTAGGTAATGTTGGATTAGACACTACGCCGATCCTCTCCGGGGGTAACGTTTCAGTACACCCTAAACCATCGTCGCGGTTAGAAGATCTCTCTCGTACCTCCGTATTCGCACGTGTATACACGCGCACGCATACGTGTCGTAAGCACGCACCGGGACGAAAACGCGTGGTATATTCACCCCTCTGTTTACGATCGCCGGCCTGCATATCCGTTCGTTTGTTTATCCATCGAATTCTACCGCGCTCTTACAGAGATCCGCTAAACATATCCGTTCATTTATACGATTGTGTTTGAATGTGGTGTTCAATTATCGTCGCGATCGCTTTGTCTCTCGACCGATGAAAATCGGAATGTATTCTCGATGATTTTATGTCGATGATTTACGTGTCGCAGTTTTAACCGTATCCCCAGGAAGTCGCGTACAGTCCAAGACACGGTCTCGCTCGAATCCAGCCAGACTAAACTCAACTCTTGCCCTTCGGGGGATGGGTCACCACCACTACCGGCGTAGACGTTAAAATCCAGGCTGCGTGAACGTAATCGAACACAGTGTCGTGGGAGCGAAAGTGGCGGGTGGTGTGTTTACTGCGGTGGCGGCGAGGGTATTATCCTGACGGAACTAAAACTGGTCAGGTCAGTAACACGGGGTGAGTCGAGTTGCTTGGACTCTTCGTAATGCGTTTCCTTCGATTGTTTTTAATCTCGGATTTATTTAATGCAGATCCAATGAATTTAGTATTCTTATGAGATATAATATGTGTGTCTCGAATAATTTTTTCGATTAAATGTTTTTAAAGAGAAGAAGAAAAATAATTTGCCTTCCGAAATATTTCCAGCAGAGAATGTAGCTGCTGAATTAAATAGATTTCATCTCCGCGCATAGCATAGAAATTCCAAAATCTTGTTTAAATCGTTTTGTCATTCCTTGCATTCTCTTCTCAACTTTTAGATACAACATTTCTCTCTCTTAACGTTCTTCATTTCAGAAATATTTTGTAAAATTTTATAAGAGATCTTAACAAAACTGGAAATAATTCTTGGAAAATTGTAAATATATATAATATGCCTTTTATTACTCTTATTTCACCTTATAGCTTATAAAATCACGTTTATGCATGAAAAAGAATTAGAAACCTCGAAACTTAGCTTCTAATACTTACAACTTTATAGTATATAATATAATAGATATGTATAATTATATATTTAATTATTATTATCTGACAAAATACGCTATAAAATTCAATTAATTAAATTAAGTAAATAAAATGTAATCAAATTCAATAATTAAAACATATAAATTTGTCTCGCAAATATACATACATACATATACATACATATATATATATATCGAAATTATTTTGGGTAGATATTCAGCGATCATGAAAATACCCAGCTTTCACAATTCGCGAAGGCGCAAACAAAACGTGCAGATTGAATAATTGCGAAAGCTAATATTATTATTAATCAAGCAGTGCATTTATATGTGCAACCCACATGTATAATCGTCATCGTAGAGAAAAGAGCTTTTTTTCCTCGTCCTAGATTTTCGACGCTGTGGACTCTCGCGACCACATTTACAGAAACGTTAGAATGATCGATACACGACGGGTTGCTATGACAAAAATAGACAAATGTTCGTAATGCGTCTCCGCATAGAGGGTAAATATGTTCGGCCGGCTACATGCCGGCCGTATAAATAGAAAACATAGGCATAGATGCATACATATATGCGCGTATAAGGGTGCGCGTAACGGGGTGACACGGCCAAGTCGCGCAGGCGCTACCTGTAGAGAGACTCGACGGAATACGTGATGATAAATACTAAATTTAACCCCCGGGTGAAACGTCAGGGTATCCGGATCGATAACACTTTTCTGGCGTCTCTCGTTCTTTTTTCATCGGCAAAACGTGACTTCGCGCGTATGTAGGGCGTTTATATAAATCGCGTTGACCACAGAGGTCGCATGCCCCGTTCGTGTGATACTATCCGTATATACGTATCGTGTATGACAAAGCCTTCATTAAAATTCCACAACGCTTAAAATTCCGCGTTATCGGGTCGTGGTAAAAATTCACGCGAGACTATGGGACACAGCGAAACGTAGTAACTGTTTAGATACTCGTAATAAAAATGCGGGCTTCGAATTCCAACGAAATTTTTTTATAGTCAAAATAATTTTTCTTCACAATATTGGTGTAAGAAAAATTTATGTATTCTACTTCTAATTAAAGCTTTCGTTACCGTTTCACGTTCATAATGCGGGTATCCGCAAGTTGATACAACAAAATTAAACGTGAAGTATTTCAAAATCGACGATATACATATAAATATCCAAATTCTGTACATAAATATGAATTAATTAACTCAATTAACTATGAGTACTTTGCACTATAAACTGAATGTTGAAATTATTATATAATAGCTAACTATTATACCTAACTTATTACTAAAAATATTATATAATCTCCGTCCTAACTACAATTTTAGAAACAAATTTTAAATTTTAAAAAATTATAAATAAAATATACATATATGATAAAAATAAGATACATAAAAATCTAAAAAACTTCTATTTTTATTTAATATATGTATAATAATATAATGAACACACACACACACACACATACATACACACATACAAGTAATACTTAATTTAACCTCGTGATTTCGGCTGCGTGAATTCGACCCGCTGCAACCCGTAGTGTAGTAGAGTTATATGAATATATATAATATTTATAGATATTTTATAAAAATATCTACTAGTTATGATAACAGTTGTAATGTATAAGTATTCATATATAAACTAATTAGGATTATGCAACAATATACACACATTTGTAACATCGTTAGAAATAACTATATTCTAACAACTTTTATTTTTAACTCTATTTAATTTTGAAAAGAATAATGAACTTTTTACATACTCATATTACTTTTTACATGCCCATATCTGTGAAATTATGAATCTATATTATTAATTCTCATTTATTTCCACATATATTTTATACATTTCACGTACGAGAGATTATTAATTCCTACGGACGTAATTAAGCAATGCACATCATCCACGAAAATTCAAAGCAGATAATCCATTTAAAGGCAGTAATATTCTGTTCAAGAGATAATGTATTCCACCGAGGTTGTAACACACACATATATATATATATAATTCGAAAATTATACAATAGAATATAAAACAGTCCTGTTTATTTAATGGAACAAACCTGGAGAAAGAAAAGCTGTAGAATAGTCGAAGAAAAAAAATCACATTATTTGCATTCAATGAAAAAAGCAGAATGTAATATTAATTTATGAAAACGAGATATCAACTTTTGATATATTGTATATATCTCAATTAAGAGAGTGCTAAGCACAATAGTAGTTTGACATGCTTTTTTAATAATTTGAACAAATTGAAAATAAAATGCGTGTGAACAAATGCATAACATTCCATTGAATATCGACATGACAAAATGCATTTATTTATACACAGTTTTGAATTTGTATATGTCAACGCATCGTACTAGATTTATGAGATGCAGACCAAAATATATCGAGAGATATAATTATATCGGCTTTAATATATGCATATAAAAAAAATAATTATCAAAAATCTGAATGTAACGATAAAAAGCTAAAATAATTATGTGTATATATATATATATTGTCTCATTAGTTCATAAAATAATAATTCGAATTAATAAATTTCTTTATACATATTATTTGCATCTAAAGCGGTTAGATTTATTCTCTCGAATTGTCAAAAAGAAGAAGATTAATACACATACACCTATTCTGATTTTCTCGTTGGATTCTTTTTTTCTTTTCTTTTTTATTTATTAGCTGTATATCTACTTTGCGTTCAGTTTTGAGAGGCCGTACCGTCACCTTTTTTCGCGCACAAACTGTCGATCATTTCGGAATTCGATGTCTTCAGATCGTACGCCAATCCTAACCAGGCCATGAAATCTATAAAGGCGGTCGTCAGATTGAGACGATACGAACCTAGCTCGGCGGCCTTATAGTCCCACGGGAAGGAATGATGGTAATTGTGCCAACCTTCACCAAAAGTCACGATGGATACCGTTGGATTCTCTGTTGCTTTAAGATTTCTAAAACAAGAAGTAGAGAAATAAGGGAATTTCGCACACACACACGCACGCACGCACGCACGCACACACGCACACATACACCGCCCGATCTGAGCCGGCTGTACGCGAACAAACTTCTGAGTCTCGTGCAACAGATTATTTAAGCAGAATAATACATTTTACTTCTACCTCTATTATAGTACCTCTGTATGAAATTCCCTTTAGTAAATTTACCTTTCCCATGATCGACGTGTATACTTTACTTTAAGAAGTATATAGAAATCTAAGAGAGAAACCAAAAATGTTTGCAAAAAATGTCTTATTTCTTATAATATCAATTTTTCCTTTTTTTATAATTTAATGAAATATTAGAAAATTTTATTGTAAAACGAAATAATATTATAAGAATTATTAAAAATAATTAAAATTTATTAAATAAGACTATTAATCGCGCGCGCAAAGATTATCGCGCTATCATTTTATTAATTATTATGAAATGCCTCCAATTTATTCAAAAAAAAGCTGAATTATTCCTGATTTAACTTCTATTAACAAAAAATAACATTTCTAATCTTCTACGAGACGAATTGTGATACTTTCCTATTTATACTTGAGCAATACAATTCGATCGATATACTGGTTGATTGTAATGCCAATTGCGCAAACGTGAATCCAAAAGATTAATGTGTACCTGTTATACGGTCGAGTGCCGTATAAATGAGCGAAACTGTTGACAGAAAAAGTCACATTTAATGTATATATGTGACGGAAAATCGTAGCACCTATACTTATTATCCAGGCTTCATTCCATATATATACAGGTATCAGAATCGGTAAAACAAAGCATAGCGACAGCATGATCGGCGGATAATATCTGTAATATAAAGCATTTACATTTGTTTAATGTACTTGTTTAATATTTAACATATATAATTGAGTTTCTTCTTCTATATGATTATAAATCAACAATGCGACCTATAAACCAAATTAAAAATTGCCGTCCTGATGAGATCTCTCGCGCAATTGGTTCTTTTTAATCTCTCTCATATTCAGCATCATTAACATCACACGGACCATTTCTCATTACTACACGATCATGCAAGCAATTTAACTCCAGCAATGATCGCAAATTTTTTTACAAAATTTTTCCCAAATTTCTGGTGAAAATTTTATTTGTTTTTTATGCAATTTTGAATCAAAATCATATAATATACATATCTTCCTCTTAATCATCTTTTAGTATCTTCTTTTTTTACTTTAAGTATTCAAATGAATATAATGCAGAGAGAGAGAGAGAGAGAGAATGATTTGTTAAAAAATAAATATTATTAAGTACATTGAAAGATTAAATAGTTACGCGACATAAATTGACAAAATTGAAACTGATTGATATATGCTTACAGATCCAATCAATTAGATTTAATTGTCATATTTTGACCACTCAATTGTTATTAATATTTTCTGTTTTATCACGATTCGGGAAAACGTGGTCATTGTTTTAAATATGTTTAAACTCACTTGTCGAAAAAACGTATCACAGGATCGGCGGCGATATCGCTCATATTCACGTTTTTCCCATATTCTTTAACTGCCGGATGATGTTTCATCATTAACCAGCCGACATGCGAGAAGAAGAAGCCGCGATTAGAATTATGCGGATCCGCGGATGTATCTGTGTATCTATGATGCGTTCGATGGACGCGAATCCATTTTGTCAGATGAGTCTGTTAAATAGGAAATATTCTATAGAATTTTTCAAAATCGCACAAATTATATTCTTATAAATTCTCTGCAAGCAATATTATATTCTGCAGTATCCATCGCTAGATTCGTTCACTACTACATCGGTATTATATTCATTTCATTCAATTAATTGATTGGATGATTATATCGGCGACTATTTCATAATCTTACCTGTCCCGTCATGCAGTACAAACAAGTGAGCAGAATTTTGAGTGGTAGTTTTGCGCTATAACTCCTATGTGCCCAAAAACGATGAGCGCCTGCCGTTATACCAAAACCAGCAATGACTCCATATGATATTTCTGAACACGAGAAATGAAATGAGAAAGCAACATTAGACTTTACTCTTTATCATTTTAAACAAAATATACGATGTTGATTCTTAATTAGCTAATTGTGAAATATTAAGAATGAAAAACTAAATGTTAGATCTCTTTCTATATTGCAGGAAATGAGATAATTTTCATAAAGATATGTCTCAAAATATTAAGTGTGTTTTTAATTTATAAATAAACGAAAATAAGAAATTTTCATAAATTAAGCTTAAAATAAAAAAAAATATAATTTGAATATATAATATAAATATAAATATAATTTTGCATTTATTTTAACATAAATCTTACTTGTTAAAATTTGAAAGCGTTTGAAAAAATTGATTTCAGATTTTACAAAAAATTGCGATATGTATTTATTTATCAATTCCAGTGCACTTTATGCTATGAAACTTGATTTAGACGATAGATGAAGTTTTATAAGAGAACTAATTTTATGATTTAATAAAAACGTACCAAATATCCAGGTCCAAAATTTTGCCTCATTATATCGCGTGACAAATAAATAGATCGCAATGACATTATAAATATAATTTTGTTCTTTATTAAATTTTTGTGTTTATGTGGGAAAGGAAGCAAGCGCATTTATTTTAACATAAATCTTACTTGTTAAAATTTGAAAGCGTTTGAAAAAATTGATTTCAGATTTTACAAAAAATTGCGATATGTATTTATTTATCAATTCCAGTGCACTTTATGCTATGAAACTTGATTTAGACGATAGATGAAGTTTTATAAGAGAACTAATTTTATGATTTAATAAAAACGTACCAAATATCCAAGTCCAAAATTTTGCCTCATTATATCGCGTGACAAATAAATAGATCGCAATGACATGGAGAGCAGGGATACCAATAATATTGCGCCAAATTAATGGTTGTTCCGCCGGTATGTTCTCTTTTGGCGGTTGATCGAGAATCGAATTTTTGCCATCCTCCGTTTCCGACTGCGTTAACTTTTGGCTTTTATTGTCCTCGTATTTGACTATCGTTGAACTGTACATTACTGAAACAAAATATTTAAAGAATTAAACGATTCAAATTATCATAAAGGTAATCAATTTCATAATCCAATTACAACAACTATATTATTTACAGACTTACACGAAAATGTTACGAGCAAAATTCATATCAATTTCATTATAAAACGATCTTGCTTGTAATTAACAAATCAAGCCATGACGCTTGTATGAGCGAAATTCCAGCATTCGCGGCTATCTTTCACGACAAGACGTGATTAGCATTTCCGTGCAAAACATGAAAACGTAATTAACATTCGCAGTCAAGGTAATTGCACGTTACGCCTCTCCGGCTGATCTTTCTCGCTGACACGGATTTGACCGAGTTTGTCGTGAAAGTAAAAGCGAATTATTTATCAAAGATGTGTTACGTTCCGATGAAGCTATATTCTTGTGATCGTAAAGCATTTTATGTATGATGATTGAAACACAATGGCTAAAAAGTCTGGTTCGAAAAAGAACAATTTTGTATTATAAAAAATTACAGAATACTTCTGGAAGATATATAATTGCAATCTTTCTTTCCTTTTATTATATTAATCCATCTATGACTAATTAAAAGACCAGAATGTTACTAGAATGATTAATTTCTTAAAAATTAAAAATTTTATTATATTATGTATGATATTACAATAAAATGATACACACACAATTTTATATTTCTAGTGTACGACACATAATATACTTTTATCGAGATAGTTTGTTATGCAGTTAGACAATTTTTAATGGATGCAAATTTTATTAAAGTACATGATGAAAGTCTGTGCAAAAACCTATGAAATCTTGCCTCGCGAAGGTTACTCATTCAGTCCCTTGGACGAATTATTACATCCGGACATCCCGAAGTGACTATACTGTGCTCTATAGAAATATCAAAGTGGAGTACTATATTTACGAAGATTATAATGAATGCGCGGTCACTTAACACGCGATACACGTGACAAGAGCCTTTCTTACCAACTTAATTGCATCGTGAATACATTTTAAAAAACCTTACAAATCTTGTCAGGTATGCCAATTACCTACATTTTCCATTATCTATGCTCTCTCTATCTTTGTATCACATAATTATTACCTTCTCTGGGAGAGATTTTTCTTACCAAGTGCATATCCTACCAAGCAACTTTTTTCTAAAGAAAGCGTAGAAAGCGTAGGAAGTTTTTCGGATGTCACGTCAAAAAATGATAGAAAGAGGAAGAGTTTATATATGGAAAGGATACAATTCTTGACATGGCTATATCAAATCGCTGCAAGGCAAGAAACCGAAAGAAATGTTGACTTTGCGCTTTCCAATATTTTATTGGAACCAAATTTGCCCATGATTGTACACGCACACATACCACACATCAGTTTTGGCATCAAAATTTAATAATAGAATACAACTAATAATAATAACATAATTAATAATCGAAACAAGAGAACAAATACATAATTCCGATATCATAAAGTATCTTTGCCAGAAGAGAATTATGAGAGCCGATTCATATTCGAATTAATACGTGAAAATGGAAAACGACATACTTGCATTTTTTTATTTGGCTCGAAAAAGCCGCGAGATATGTTTACCAAAAATTACGTCGCGTGTTTCATTGACGTTGTCGATTTCATTGCATCTTTTTCGGTTTTGAAAATGTGTGCCATTTATAATTTAATAATTTAATTAATAGCCAGAAAAATCATACCGCGCTCATAAAGCATCATTCTATTTCTTGTTTAAGAACCTCGTGCAATAGCTTATGTTAATATAATTATATGAACCAAAGACTATATACTTACTGTGGACGATTCGATGTACGCAAATGTGTGTCTCGAGATGCTATCGAACGAACCAGATAAGAATGAAAGACCGATGTGCGCCGCACTACTTCTCATCCTATTCCACTGCATAACATGTGGTAGCCCGATGTTTATAAGGAGCTCCCCGATGCCGATCTATCCGAAGTATTAAAATATAATATATCGAGAAAGGAGAAACGTCGTGATTCGCGGAGCAGCGGTTTTGTTTCAGCCCAAGATATATAATATCAACTCCTTCCCTTGAAACTTTCGCTTGTTCTCGACTTCTTATGCTCTCTCAATTTCTAATAAACGTTCGCTATGACTCTTTGTCACGTCGATGTATGTATCGCATCGGTCATGTGTGTCAACATATCGCATCTACGCGATGTAATGATATTATAACTCAGGGACGCACAGTAGAACAGTTCAAAAAACTGTGGTCAAAAGAAAAATTTTTGTTTTAAGGTAAAGGAAAAAAAATACGATACGTATTTAAATATTCTACTTACAATTTTCAACATATTGAATCTAAATCGAAATGAGATAGAGAAATTATATAGGATAGAAAATGTCCTTTATATGCTTTTTAACGCATTACATTAAATTATAAACTTTTTTTATTTCAAACCTTATTTTATAACAAAAGAAAAATTAATAAAATCATAATTTTTGTTAAATCATATTTTACATGCATTCTCGCTGACATATAAAATATATTGTTTAACAAATTTTTAATATGTATTCAACGATTCAACAATTTAATTTTACTTTACATTTCTCGCAAAACACGAATAAATAGAAAGTGCAAATTGAATAATCATGAGCGCGTATTACCATCAATCGTTCTTATATATGCAGCCCACATGTGCAGCCATTGTCGAGATTCTTTTCTCGCCCCAGATTTCCGACGCTGTCGCGCATCGTGAAATGCAGGAATATTTACACAACGACATTAGAATGATCGATACGTTGCACTATGATAAAAATAGACAAAATATTTATAACGTATGTTCGCATAGAGGATAAATATATATTCGAGCCCTTTACATGTTCCGGTTGTATGTATGAATAGATACGTGGATAGATATACGCGTAAAGGGTGCGGGAAGTCGCACAAATGTTACCCTGTATATAGACTCTCTCTCTCTATACAGAACACTCTATACAATATGTGTGTGTGATGATAAATACTAAATTTAACCGCCGGATAAAATGACGCGACGTCAAGCTATCCGAATCGATAACACTTTTCTGGTATCTCCCTTTCTTTTTTTATCGGTGAAACGTGACTTTGAGTATGTAGGGCGTTTATATAAATCGTTGACCGCAGGGGTCGTACAGAGATGCGTGCTTTATCCGTATAGTACATACGATACGTATCGTGTGTGACAGAGCCTTCGTTAAAATTTCGCAGCGCTTAAAATTCCGCACTATCCGGGGTAAAAATTTTGCAGGAGCTTGTGTGCGAAACATGACAAAGGATATTAACCATCTAATATATTCGTAGTTAAAAGTGAGGATTTTAAATTTCAATAATAATTTTAGTAACTAACATATAATATTATTTGTTATTTTATTGTAAAATATTTTTTATTATCGTAAAAACAGCGAAAAAGTTTTGTATGTTTTAATAATTAAAGTTCCTAAAAAATCATTTTGCATTTACATTTATAACAATAAATCTTATACCAAAAACTCAGTTATATTATGACAAAGAAAATCCTAACAATAGCGTATCAGTCAGCACATGTCAGTTCTTTTTATTTCTCTTTTTCTCTTTTTTATTTTTTTATTCAATAGCAGCTATATATTTCAGAGATATTTGTTTTGCATTTGATCTCGAGAGATCTGTCACCTTTTTTCACACAAAACCTGTCAATCATTTCGAATCTCGATGTCTTCAGATTATATGTCAATCCCAATCAGGCCATGTAATCTATAAAAGCGGATTGGATTGAGACGATATAAGTCTAGCTCCGCGGTTTTATATAGTCCCACGGGAAACAATAATGGTAATTGTGCCAACCCTCGCTGATAGCATATCGTTGAATTCTTCTGTTGCCTTAAAATTTCTACAACAAAAAGTAGCAAAAGAGGGAGTGTTTCTCTGCTTAATCCCAAACAAACTCTTTTGCTGCGAAATCTCAGATTAGCAGATTATTTAATCAAAATGATATCTTACAATTTCTATCTATTGCGGTATTTTTGTATATAAAAATTCTCTTTGATAAATGAGATTGATTTCATAAAATAATAATTGATATACTTGCTTTATTTTAAAATATATATGGATTTAAGAAAGTCTTGGGATTCGCAGAAAATGTTTTACTTCTTATAATAATTGATTCTTTTTTTACAAAAGAAGAAATTATTATACAAATATACATAAAACAAAAATTAGAACGTGTTTTTTATAAATGTATGTTTATATAAATAAGCCTGATTCATTATAATTTTATCAAATAATAAAAATTAATTAAGTTCTTGTTCTTGAGGAAACTAATTCGAAAAAACTAAATTTGGTTTTCTAAAATTCTATAAGTGGTTTTGCTATTCGCGCATTTTGCTATTCACAATAATGGGAATAAATATAATTAACAAAATTAGTGAGTAAATCGGAGATTCAAGCTAGAAACTTGCATTCCTAAAAAGATCACAAGATTAATCATATCTGTTGATTGGGAAAGTTAGTGAAGTAAATTGTGAAGCAAGCAAATTACATTAAATATATTTTCAACTGAAATTTTCACTGCAATCTTTAATTTACATGATATATGAGATGTCTACAATCAATCACTTTTTTTATGTATATATAAATCTAATTTATTTAATCGAGGTGGCGATCAGGATGAAACGATATTAATAATTTTATCGTTAGAAAATTCTTGCATTTATCCAAAAATATCGATTATTCCACTTAAATTTATTTTAAATGTCATATCGAAAAAATTTTATATTCTTTTGTAATAAATATTGATACTTCCCTATTTTTATATCTGAATACAATCCGAACACTGTACTGATCAGTTCCGATGACAATCGTACAAACACGAATTCAGAGAGTTTTTATGTATCTTTTGTACGGTCGATTTCCCGATATGCAAACGAAACTATTGACGGAAAATACAGCCACATGTAACGGAGAAACACAGCGCTTATGTTTATAGTCCTAATTTCATTCCACAAATAGACCAGTATCACAGCCGGCAAGATGAAGCGACAGCATAATTGGCTGGTAATATCTGCAATAAAAAGCATTCGCGAGCGTCATACGTGCTCAACAGTTTCCTTTTTACGACGTTGCATGACTCAAGCGCGCGTATAAATCAAAATTAATTGCAATACACGCGCTCAATCCTGCTCTCTAATGAAACACCTCTCGCAATTAATTCTACTTGATGTATCCCATCCAAGCCCCTCGCGCCATTTCAGACAAATGATTACCAAGCAATCTTGCGAGCAATCCAACTCAATGTGATCGTGACTTTTGTTATCAATTTCAAACCGCGTTCCCTAATCATCCCTAAGTATCTTTTTTCCACTTCAAATATTAATTCACAGTTATATATAATAAGGAGGAAAAAGAAGAAAAATTTTATGGAATTTACAAATATCAATATGAATATTAAACTTTCAACAAAAAATTTTTCAATTTCATTTTAGAATATTATGAGATTAGTTCAGCGTTACATCATAGCGAAAATATTATTGAATCAGGGAATATATGCAGAATTAATGGTACATTTAAATTATGTAGTACTATATCATGTTAATATGAAAATATTATTGAGTCAGGGTATATATATGCAGAATTACTGGTAAAGTTAAATTATGTAGTACTGTATCATGCTAATGAGAATATGGACCATACAAGTATAAATGTTTGTAATTATTTACTATTATTATCTACTGAAGTTAATTATTTACTGAAATTTACTACTGCGACTGTGCATTTAATGATTTTATTCTGCTTTTAATATTTAAACTGGCACACTAGCAGAAATAGTCGCCTGCGATTAGTACATATTTAATACCAAATGCGTCATAAAAAATTCGCAAAGATAGATGACACGAGGTTGACTGCACAAAAATAGATTTAAAACTGTACTAAGGAATTTTAAATAGCACATTTTATGTAAAAAACACTACGTATTAAAGTGTTTCTCGACGCACAAAAATAAATCTCTCTCGGAGTAACAATTCGTTATATATATGTTATAATAAATTTTAATAAGGCCATTAACTAATCAGATGATTATGACTGCAATATTTAAGGATCTTACCTGTCCGTTGCACTATAAATAAACGAGCAGATTCTGAGTGGCAGTTTGACTTTATAGCTTCTACGTGCCCAAAGACGATGAGCACCTGCTGTTACATATAAACCAGCAGCACATCTACATATATATTATTTCTAAATTAAATGAAATTAAATGAAAAAGCAAGATCAGACTTTATTCTTTATCATCTCAAGCGAAATATACAATGTAATTTGTAACTAACTATGAAAAAGGAGCAAAAATTTAACCTTAGGTTCTTATATTGTAAGATAAGATCATTTTTACAAAAGAAATAAGATGTAAAATAAAAGATATAATTGGAAATAAAAAATATAATTATATTATATAATAATTCTCGATAATATGACAGGCAAATACGAGTCTTCAGGAACTGTATGTGCTAGAAAGTATTCATTCATAAATAAATATTTTAGTATTCTAAGTTTCATAAAAAGAAATTACGCCATATAATGTTTTTAGCAATATATAGATGCAGTCTGTACTGTAAAATTCGATCTTGTCGAAGAATGAAAAATTATGGGATGCAAAGTGAATATCAGTTTAATAAATACATAAATATCCAGATCCAAAATTTTGTCTTGTCATATCGCGTGACGAACATACAGATGGGTATGACGTGGAGAAGGGATATCAGTGATATTACACGAAATTAATGGCTGCACCGTCAATATGTGCTCCTTCAGCGGTTGATCAAGCCTCGAGTTCCTGTCATTCTCCGTTGCTCCTGTCATTGTCAGTCTTCTCGCTCTAATTTTTGATTTTGACCTTTATTGTTCTCGCATTCGATTATCGTTGAATTGTATTACGAGAAAAATCGAAAGTGCATTTTTACGCGAGCTGTCAGACAATAAAAATTATCTTAAGATAGACAATTTTCGTAATTCTATTACATAACGTGTTATTTACGAAATTATATGGCAAGCCCTTGACTCTCGTATCGATCTCTTATTACAAAGCGCTCTAACAAGCGGCCGATTATTCGCCGTAAGTATTAACTGCCGCTCAGCAACCTGGTGTATAATTACCACCCACATTAGAAACGAGTATCTGAATCGCGACGAAATGCCTTTTGTCATGCATC